AGGCACCTGTTGGCCTCCTGGTGCTGGATCATGGCTGGCTCCACAGCCCACAAAGGCAGGGGCGCAGAGGACTCTGCCCTCTGAGCCTGGTGCTCTTTCTGGGCAGTAATGAGTGTCCCAGGCAGTCCCAGGGGTCATTGGCTGGGTGCATTCCCATGCCCTGGTCTGAAAGCTGACCTCTGCCCTCCAGGGACTCCAAGCTTCAGGGTCCTAGGGGTTGGGGGCAGTGAGTGTTACTCTGAGTCGCTGCTGCCCCTCTTCTTTGCAAACATGGAGCGTGCACAGGATCGAGGAGACTTGGGTGCTGACAGCTGTGTGACGAGAGCCACGCAGTGCACCCCCGGGGCCCTGCTGCCCTGCTGCCTAGCATGCTCTCCCAGCGAGGGTGAAGAGGCAATATCTGTGAGCTTTTACTGGGTGCTGCACCCTTTGGAGATCTGTGCAGCCTATTCTCCACAGTGCTGTGAGGTGGGTACTCTTGGCGCCTCCGTTGACAGCTGAAGCTCACGGAGGTTAGGACGCCGGCCAGGCCGGGCCTGACGTTATCAGTGAGGCTGGGATTTGAAGCCAGGCAGTCTGATTCCTATGCAGAATCACGGCCCCATACAGCCTGTAGACTGTGTAAAAAGTGATTTTAAAAGGTTTCAAACTATTACAAATTTGAGTGGTAGTTGAATTAATACTATTGGTAGCCTTTAATAGAGGTCATGGCTTTAATTAATAAGAATAGTGCTAGGGGCCTCCCTGGTGGTGCAAGGGGTTAAGTCTCAGCACTATAACGCTATCCGCAGCCACTGCAGTACCAGTTCAATCCCCAGCCAGGGAGCTGATCCACATGGCGCAGCAGACCTCTCCTGTCTCACCTGCTGCTCCCCTCAGCAGTGTATTTCAGTGGATCCACCTGTTCTGTTCCCCACTCTGTCTCTGGCCACTCCTCTCACCCCTTGCATCTCTGGCCTGCACCCCAGCTCTTATATGCATAAATATGTCAATATTTAAAAAATTAAAAAAAAAAAGAATATTGCTGATCTTTGGGACCTAAGACCTAGAGCTGCGCAGGGTTTACCTGCTTCCCTGGCTCTGGGGTGAGGGGAGTGGTACTGGACTTGTGGGGTGCTGCCCTAGGTTGGTGCTGATTCTCTCCAACAAAAATGGATGAGATGACTCCCCACCCCTTCTCTCACAGCAAAATTACTCTGGCCCTTCCCGAGGAGAAGAGGGAGCTGCCGCCACCATATATGAGCATGGGGAGCAGAAGCAAATCCCAAGGGCCGTCCAGGAAGCAGCTTCCCAGTGCTGGGCACTGTGCTCAGCACCTTGTCTAGGCACTGAATTGTCATGACAGCTCTCTGTGGGAGGGGGGACCATCTTGAATTAGAACCTATTTACCCACAAGGGGACTGATGCTTATTAATTAAAATGAGGTGTCTTCCCAGCTTACCCAGAGCACCACAGACCCAACCTGCAGTCGTTAGGGCGCGGGCTTTGAAACAGACAGGCCTGGGCTTGATAGCTCCCACTCCCAGGCCACCGATTGACTCATTCATTCTCCCACTCACTCCACAAGCCTCTGCTCAGCTGGGCCTCTGCAGGGACGCCTTTCCCTGCTTCAGTGGAGCAGCCCTCCAGCTTGGGCCACACCACTCACCATGTTATTTCTCTTTATAGCATATATCACCACTGGCTATTATATTATAGCTGGTCCTTTCGTCAGCATTTGTCTCTTCCACTATAAACTCTAGTATCAACTCTCTATCAACTCCACAGAGGAAACACCTTGTTTATTTAGTGTTCTGCTGTGTCTCTGGCACCAAGACCAGAGGCTGGTGCAGGGAAGGCACTCAGATGTGTGTTGAGTTAGTGAGAGAGGGCGTGCACGAATGAAGTGGGAGCTCTCAAAACCAGGCCTGATTTCAAAGCCCGTGCTGTCCACATGGCTGCCCTGTCTTCCACCCCATGCTGAGTCTGACCCTGTGCCTGGGGACAATTCATTTCCTATCCCGCATTAGATTTCTCACGTATAAAATGAGAACGTTGCTAGGGTCCCTCAAGCCTCAACATTCCCAGGGTCAGACTGTGAGCATGTTCACTGGCACAGAAGTTTGCTGTCCAATGCCTCGGCTTGCAAGTTGGCATCAGCACTGTGCGTCCTGCAACCTTGATGGCACAGGAGGCCCTGGGTCCTGTCCCTCAACGCAGGATGCGCATGCACAGTAGGGGAGTCTCAGGAGGAGGAAGCAGCTCTTATTGATGCCTGCGGTTTCCATGATGCTGAGCAGGTATCCTTGTCTGACTTCACAGAATGTGCTGATTTTGTCCTTGAGTCCTCCTCGTTACAATCATACCTTCTCCCTCCCCTCCCCCACAAGACTTTTCCCACGTTGGTGACCAGAGCTGCCACTCATCAAGCTATTTATGGAGAAGCATGTTCTCCAATTGGTCAGCATCAATATAAATTCTGCAGACTTGCTGGAATCCCCTTGGTTTTCTCCAGCTGAGGGAGGATGAGCAGTAAATCAGACCTAATGTATCGCAGATTGTTCTGATCCCATCCCACTGCAGGCAGGGTAGCTGGAAAGCGATTCTGTGCCAAGGCACCCCAGTGATTGCAGACTCCAGAGGATTCCCACCCTTCTCCCCAGTTTTAGTTTGTTTTTGTTTACTGTTTTGTTTACTGTTCATGATTTTTAAAAGGTCACAATGGTTTACAATATTGCTTGTGATTTAAAGGTACAAGATCTCCCCCCTTAGGTGTTGTTACCATACCATACCACACCCCCACACCGAAACACCCACAGGCCTCCACCATAGTCCATTGTGCTCCCTCTCCACTTTGTTCTGTCCCCTCCCCACACCCAGTTCTATAGTCAAATTTCTAGTGTTTGTTATTGGTTAGGTTTTATTTGACCCTTTATTTTGTTTCTCTATATTCCACTTATGTGACACCATCTGGTATTTATCTTTCTCCTTCTGACTTATTTTACTTAGCATAATCTCCTCCAGTTCCACCCATGTTGTTACAAATGGCAAGAGTTTATCCTTCTTTACAGCTGAGTAGTATTCCATTCGTATGTATACTGCATATTCCTGATCCACTCATCTGTCTTGGGGCACTGAGGTTATTTCCATAGCTTGTAATATGTTGCAAACAGTGTTGCAGTAAACATAGGAATGCATATTTCCCTTCAAATTAGTGCTTTTATAATCTTGGGGAGGTACCTAGTTGTGGAATCGAAGATCTTGTAAGCTATAGGGCAGGATGTCAGCTTAAGCCGTTGTGTGTGCCTTGGATTTTCTCCATATGTGTGTCCTAGGGACAGGGACCTGCTGATGTGGGCAGGGGCTCATCCTGGCAGCCAGGAAAGAACATAGGCTTCCTGGCACACAGTTCCTAGGGGCAGGGACAGCACAGCAGCCCAGGGGAGGCTGAGAATTGAGGGTCACATTGAGGCACCCTCCATGTCACAGGGATGTTCAACTGACCCACCTTGGAGTTCAACCAGAGCTTCATTTCTTACAGGGAATTCTGGGTCTTTTAGGCAAGCTGGTTCTGCCCCAGTGACTCCAAATTCCAAGGTCCTGTTCCTTGGGTGCGAGGGGACAGTCACTAAGGACCCATATCCCCTTTTAATGAAGAGGGCAGACAGGTGTCACCCACTGATATGATCCAAGCTTCTGAGGCAGGTGGCTACCCTCGGCCACCAGTGTGGACAGTCAGCCCCACCTGCCAGCCCTCCCAGCTTTATCACATATGTAAGAGGACCCTGCAGCCAGGTCCCCTGGGAGGTCTTTGCTGGAGTCAGCCAGGAGGCTGGGTCAAGTCCAGCAGGACAGGCAGTCCTGCACGCTTCTGTTGCACAGTGACTTCGCCCAGGCTGCTCAGGGGGCCCGCAGGAGAACAGACAGGAGTGTGGCTTCCAGAGGCAGCTCCTTCCCTTAGTAAAGTAATCACAGAGCTTGGTAATTTGCATTCTTAGAAAGATGCAGCATCCTTAGAAAGGGCTGGCCGGAGTGTTTGTGTGTTTAATTTTAAATCCTCCAGCCTCCCCTTAATGAGAAAATGTCTTGAAATACAGAATGTTGGGATCCTTCAAGGCCTCATTTTCCTGGGCCTTTATTTCTTTAAGGGAAAGCAGGAAAGATGGATGAGGGATGGCAGGAGCAGGGAGGGTTTGGCCTCCCTGACCGTGTTGTGCAGACATTATCTGCTGTAAAACTGTCACTGAAGGATGGAGAACTGGCTCTTGGCTGCAGTGGCCTGCAGATAATGTCAGTGCTGAGCAATCACCCAGGATTTGTTGGCACCAAGCAAACGCCTCATGGGCTTTTAGTGCCAGAATCCTTGGCTGAGCCCAGTCAGTGCTCCTGCTTGGAGCATTAGGAGCTTGTGTCCACGACTCGTGGTGAGAGCTCTAGCCTTTTTCTCGCCCCTTAAAATGTAATGTGCTTTTGAATCACCTGGGGATCCTCTAAAAATAGAGAATGATTCAGTAGGGGAGGGTGGGCCTGAGATTCTGTGTTTCTAACAAGCTCCCCAGGAAGCTTCTGGTTCATGAACTGGAGAGACCTTAAAAGAGGCAGGTGCTGGCTGCCCGGGGCCCCACAAGGTGGACGTGCCCAAACAGAATACAGAGGTGAGGACTCGCCAGAGCCGGAGCTACCCTGGGAGGGGCAGGGAAGGCTGTAGGGTCTCCAGACATTCTGGAACACTCTAGGATTTGCGGTTATGAAAGGGAGAAATTTCATCATGGACCGCTCTTGTTTGGGACTTTACCTCTTCTGCCCACTAGGTTTACTTTTCTGCGGATGCTCAGGTAAAGCCCATGGGAAAACTGAGGTCCCTAGCACCCCACTCCCCTGATGGGGACCCCCCACTCCCCTGATGGGGAGGAAGGTGAGCTCCATAGTCCAGGCACCAGCCAGCCCGAGTGTGTAAATGGGAGTTGATTTGTATTGTGTTCTGGTGTGGCTGATCCTCTCCCGCTCCCCTGTTTTCACAGGTCCCTGGATGAGCAAGAGCTGACGACAGCCAAGTCCCTCCTTCTCTGTGTGTGGGGAGCAGGGCTGTGGGCCCAGGTGGCACCAATGCCGAAGAACAGCAAGGTGACCCAGCGAGAGCACAGCAGTGAGCATGTCACGGAGTCGGTGGCCGACCTGCTGGCCCTCGAGGAGCCGGTGGACTATAAGCAGAGTGTCCTGAACATGGCTGGCGAGGCAGGCGGCAAGCAGAAGGCCGCGGAGGAGGAGCTGGACGCAGAGGACCGGCCTGCCTGGAACAGCAAGCTGCAGTACATCCTGGCCCAGATCGGCTTCTCCGTGGGCCTGGGCAACATCTGGAGGTTCCCCTACCTGTGCCAGAAAAATGGAGGCGGTAAGAGGCGGTCCTGCTGGTCCCTGGGGGTGTCAGCCAGGTGGGCTGGACTGAGAGGTGAAAAGGAGGATCCCTTTTCATAGCTTTGTAGTCTGGAGTTCAGACCCCCAGGGAGACTCCCCTGAAACAGCTAACAGTGAACAGCTACAGAAAAGGCTGGTGGCCAAGAGTGTGGTTCTGACCTGGGCTGCCTGCCTTCACCCCCCAGCCCTGCAGGTCAGCTCTGGGGCCGTGTGCGAGTTGTTTGATCTCTATGTGCCTCTCTGCTCCTCATTGGGAAGGTGGGAGGGGTGGTAATAATAGCAGCTCCTGCCTCCCAGAGTGGGGAGAAGTAAATGAGCTTTACATATGGAATACTGAACCCTGCCTCAGTGAGGAGCAGCTGGGTCCCTTTTACTAAATGCTTGCTAGGTGCTGAGCACTGTTCTAGCATTTACCTGGCATTAGCTGGAAATACATAAAACCGTGAATATTTGAGCATCTTGGAATTACCAAAGCACCATTTCATCTGGATGAATCTGGGAATCCTGGCCCCGGACCTGAGCCTTTATCACCATGCCCTGGGTCTCCTGGGGAGAAAGGCCCCCTCACTCTGCCCCCTGAGTTTGAATCCCCCAGAGGAATCCCCTGCTATCAAATCTCTTCTACTCCCTACGTCCAACTCCCAGGCCTGATCCCCCCAGCACCACCAAGGCAGGCTGGAATGTTCCGAAAGCAAGTTGCTTTGAAACCAGGATATAAAAACAAAGAAAAACGCAGTAAACTGAAAACCTCCAGTTTATAAGCTGAGACCTCTGGGCCTGGGAGTGAGATCTGAGCCAGGGGAGAGCTGCTGGGCTCCTGCGAGTCGGGCCTAGGGATCACCTCACCTCCCTCCAGCCTAAGCACATCCACTGCCTGGGGTATGTTTTAGCCCTGCTCCTTCCCTTCCTGCTCTGTGGGACTCTTGCTGCCCTGGAACCTCTCCCAGAGGGACAGTCCCATTGGGGAGACTCCCTCCTCTCTGACACACTCTGTCTCTGGGACACTCTCTGTCTCTGGCTGAAAAGAGAGACTAACTGGAGGCTCTGCCTTCTTTGCAGTTTCTACTGGAAGGCGGGTAGTGCGAACACTCACTGAGCCTGCAGGTTGAATTAGCACATCTTTGAAATATTCTGTTCTCCCAATAAATAAATAAGTGCCAACAGAGCTTTTGGTCTGGATGGCATGGCCAGGTCCAGGTCACTGAGTTGACCTAACACCAGTTCAAAGCAAAGATACAAATAGATGAGCATGGTTTCCTTGTGTTTCAGCTGCGAGGTGCTGAACAGAGCCCAGAGCCCCCGCGACAGCTTTGCATATCCAATTTGGGGGCTCTAGCTGGGAACCTCCAACTTCCTTTTTGTGACTTAGATGAACCTGAAGATGAGCCTGGTGCTCAGTGCTGCATCACAGAGTCCCTCTCTTGCCCCCCACCCTCCAAGGCAGTGTTCTCGCCAAAGTCAGCCGTTCCCAGGGTTGCCAGACAGTCTCCATGGCACCAGACATCACCAACAGCCCCCAGAAGAAAAGCCTCGTCAGCTCTGGGATTCTGAGCTCTCCGGTCCACATTTCTGCCTTCATTTTTCTATCCTCTCTGATTGCCAGAATGCCCTTTGATTCTACCTTTACCTCTCCTATATATTTATGGGCTTTCTAGTAAGTCATTTTAAATGTTATTTTTTGGAAGAAGGGTGATGATCATGGGCAGGAGACAGCTATTTGGTCTGAGAGTCAAAGCTCTGTGGTTTGAGTTGGGGGTGACCCAGTCACACTTTGCTTAACCCGGATGGGAGCCCAGGATCTCTGCTTAGCTCCAGCAGATGCTGACAGTTTCTTTATTCCCCATTCTCTCCACTTGTCTTTTTTTTTTTCTCCTGTTCATTTTTTGAGAAAGAGGCAAATGTTAACATTGAGTCCCTCTGTGGGCAAGTTACTCATTAACCCTCAGAATGGCCCTGAAGCCATGAAGAATATGAAATGACCCTTTCTGTATCCTATCCCCCATTTTCATCCGCTTTACATGGATGACAGAACAGCGACTGAGAGATCAAGTCACTTGCCCTAAGTCACACGGCTTGAAAGCGGCAGTCAGGATTCCAGCCCAGGAGGCTCTGCATCCTAACCCCTAGTCAGTGCCCATCAAATAGGCTGAGGCCAAAGTGGACTTCCAAAGCCCAGAGATAGCAAGACTCACAGCATAGATAGACCAAGGCAGACTGTTAGAGAGTCTCGAACCTCAGAGACGCGGGCCTCCAATTTTCTGTAGCCACGTTCTGCTGTTTCCTGGTGTCTCAGCTATTCAGAGAGCTGAGAGAACCCCAAGCCACCAAGACATCAAAGGACAGCCTTCAGTTGTGTCCCCAATTTGAATTTTCGAAGGTGGAAGAGGAAGCCTTTCCAAATGATTTCAACAAGGGGTGAAAAAACCCCTCTGATTAATTAAAACTTCTGCATAGCAGACCACAACCCCCCACCCCCACACTGTCATTAGCTCATACTTGGGAAGGGTGGGGAGCCCAAGTCAGGTGGGTGCCCCGGGGCCCCCTGAGGTGTGGCTCCCGGGATCTTTGGGGAGAGGAGAGACACATCCATGGGAGATGCCACCCAGCTTCTCTGACACCTTGAGGTCCACCTCCACGTGTTGCCCCACCCAAAGACAGGCAGGCAAAGCCAAAACCAGTGGGATTGCGTCCCTTTGCCTTCCTGTCCATTACTTCCTCCTCTTCCACTCCTAAGTCTGAGCTCAAGGGAGAAAAGAGGCTAAAAGATCAGATGTCCTCAGGGCTTTGGCACCTTGCTGGGAAGCTGATTAGAGACTTGAATTCCAGGATGGGGGGATTGGGGGGGGCCTGTGCCTGTGTGCACATGCGTTAATGACCTTGATGCTGTTGGAGAAGGTTCAGTTTGCTGCCTTCCCTGGAAGCTTTTCCTGATTAACTGCTTTGGACCCCGACCCCCTCAGGATGTGTGTGCCCCGTGGGTGCTGTGTAACGTTTGCTTGTGACTGTGTGTATACAACACGCTCTGATGTTGCTCGTGTGAGTCCGGGGGTCCTGGCTTCCAGGTTGCGAGCTTGCCCGGCATAGGGTCTCTGCCTACTGTTTCCTCCAAGCCCCCTCTGCACATACATGCCTGGCACAGAGCAGACCTGGAATAAACCGCTGACTTGTCATGTGCCAGGTCCTGTGCCCAGGAGAGGTCCCATCCCCTGGGTTTGTTGGCATATCGGGCACACTCTGGGGAGCTGGGGGGAGGTCACATTATGGAAGGCAGAACAGTGTGGCTGGGGGTCTGCCAGATAGTCCCAGCTTTCGAGGTTTGGTCTGGGGGTGCTAGGTGGCCATGAGGGTGCTGGTGGCCGGGGCTGGCTTGACACCATTTGACAGACAGGCAGGGCTTGCCGACAGTGTTGCTAATAGGACCAGGTGCTTGGCACGGCCCTTGGCGGGAGCACTCGTCTGTATCCAGACTCGGCTTTAATTCTCCTGCTAAATGCCCTGTCACTTGGAATCGAGATTGCATCTGCAGTGAGGCCCGGGACAGTGCCTTTAATTTGTCATCTGGAATCTTTGGCGAGATCTAAGTCTTTCCTTTATGATCCTCCAGGTTACGCTTTCCTGAACTGCTAATTTCTCTCCCGTTCCCCTCAATTAGCTGTGGATTAATGGCGATGCTGGCCAGTCCCTGTCTTCTTGGAGAGCATCCAGGCTCCTTTTCCCTGGGGCTGCTGGGCTGCTGTGTCAGCATCTAGTTTAGATTCGAGGACTGTGTCTGGGGTCTGTGCCTGGGTTGCGGTGGGGGGGAGTTGGCGAGTGAGCAGGGACCTTCTCCTTTGGGGTGAGGGGTTCCTCTCTTGGGCAGGAAGTGGAGTGAGCAGGGATGCACAGAGGATGGCACGAGATGAGTGTGTCTGCGTGTGACTCGACATGTGAATTCCTGGGAGGCGTGATGTTGTCTGTCTCTGAGTCTGTCCTCGTGAGTGAGTGGGAGGTAGTTGGCACTTCGCACTTCTGGTCAGGTTAGCCAGTACATGGTGGTCACCCAGGTGAGCCAGACCATTCCTGGAGGGACACAGGGCTGGTGGCAGTTTGAGGATGATGGGTGATGTGGTCAGGTCTGTAGGACACCCCTCTTCTGACCCTCGTTGCCAGGCTTGTCTCCCTCTGACATCCTCCCTTCTTCCCAGGTGCCTACCTGGTGCCCTACCTGGTGCTGCTGATCATCATTGGGATCCCCCTCTTCTTCCTGGAGCTGGCTGTGGGCCAGAGGATCCGCCGCGGCAGCATTGGTGTGTGGCACTACGTGTGCCCCCGCCTGGGAGGCATCGGCTTCTCCAGCTGCATAGTGAGTCGGGGGCTGACCTTGGGCACCAACCGGGAGGGCATTGAGCCACTCTTGGATGCTGGGAAGGAGGGTGCAGGAATCAAAGAATCCTGGACCAGGTCAAGGAAGGGGAGGGGGGCTCTCAAGTGAGAATTACTTCCAGCTGGTATCTCAGCACCACATATTTTCTAAGCTGCAAGTTGGCAGCACCCCCAAAGCAGGCTGCAATATCTGGAATTATGCTAAGGAGGAAAGGCTGGGGCATGTTCACAAGGGCAGATGGGGGACGTCTCAGCAGGCGCTCTGCTGGGACATGGGGACCACCCTGGATCCCTGCTCTGCTCACCAGCCCGTCGGCTCTCCAGGCCTCCATGAAGAGGCCCTTCCTCTTGCTTTGGTTAAAGAGGGTTTTAACTGGCAAGTGGATGGCAGAGGAAAAGGCAGCCCTGGGGCTTGAGGGCTCCATGTCATTTTGTCATTTTGCTGTGCCTGCGAGCAGGGCTGGAAAAGGACTGAGGCAGGAGCCTGAGGCCACGCTGGAGGGGGCGAGGCTTTGGAACAGTGGGAGACAGGGGACCCCCTGACTTGGATGGGGATCTCTGTGAGGGCTTCAGCTCATCCATCGGGCCACAGATGAGGCCAGGAGTAGCGCTCTGGGTAAGGAAACTGAGCCTCCTTTAGGGGCGAACCGCAGGTGCCCACGCCCACACCTAGGACTGACTCTGGAAGGAACTGAGGACTCTGTCACCCCTGGCGGGGGGGGGGGGGGGGGCGCAGCCTGAACCTGGCTCAGGCAAAGCCCAGGAGAGGGTCAGAGCAGCCCTGTCTTTGGGCCCTCTGCACGGGGACACGACTGAACACAGCCGTCTGCTGGGTCTGGTGGAGCATCACCTGCGTGTGAGTGCGTCTCCCCTGGGACTGAAAGCACCCAAAGAAAGGAGGTGGGCATCTCTCTCTACTCCCCACATGGCAGGCTGCAGGAGCGTCTGCGCCTGCACACTGGGGCTCTGGGGAATTTGAAGCAAAGGATCCTCACCCCGAACCTCTTGCCATGGGCCCTAACATAGCCCTGCCCCGGAGATAGAAGGGCCTGGAAACACCCAGAGTGGATGCAGTAAATCCCTTCACGGAAAATGATTGCTGTTAAAGAAACCTCGGGCCCTCAGTCAGATTTCATACACTCCTATTTTAAATATATTTCCACCAGGGCTAGTCAGTGATCATGTCTCCAAGAAATGAGACGCGACATCTTTCTGGAGACAGGCTGCTGACAGGAGCAAGGAGAGAGGGGTGTCCTGAGAGAAGAGGAGGACATAGGGAACCAATAAGGAGCATCCACCAGTCGGGGGTCCAAAGCAGTCCCTGCCTCCTTAGTTCTGGGGGGCAGCTCTGGAATTGTGATCCTGAGTCATCAGGAAATGATGGGGAAATGCTTTAAGTGTCCTAGAATTTCAGACTGGAAAGGATTAGCGTTTTAGGAGTTTATTGCTTAAAGGAGAGAGCTTTAATATCTGAGACATTCCTCTGTGGATTCTCTGAATACCAGATGAAGGGAGGGTTTGGAGGAGGCCTACTCTCATCCCTGCTCCTCCCCCTCCTGCTCCAAGCCCCTTGGTGGGCGTTGGGGGCGGGGTGCCCCCAGCCTCCTTGACCCCTCCCTCCTGTGGACCCCCATCCTCAGGTCTGCCTCTTTGTCGGGCTGTATTACAATGTGATCATCGGGTGGAGTATCTTCTACTTCTTCAAGTCCTTCCAGTACCCTCTGCCCTGGAGTGAATGTCCTGTTGTCAGGAATGGGACCATGGCAGGTAAGTATGGCTCCCCCGAGGACCCTGCTGGGGTTTCCAGCCAGCCCGGTCCCAGGAAGGAGTCCAGAGAGCCTGAGAGGCTTAGGCACAGGCTGGGATTTCAGCCATTTGCTGTGTCACCTTGGTTAAGCCACTGCCTCTCTGATCCTGATGGTCTCTTGCTGGTCTGCCCCTCCCGGTTCTTAAGGAAATTGAATGAAATAGTGAGCGGGTAAACTGTGACTTTTGCTTAGTTGTTATCACTACACTCCCTGGGTTACTCCAATACCATCCTATCCAGAAGCAGCCTTGATTTGCATCTATCAATATAAAGTGTTGGATGACGCATCCCACGTCTCATATGGGTAAAATAAGGCCCAGAAGCAACTTCCCCATAGTCACACCCCTGATTTGATCAAGGATCTGGGATGGGAATTGGAGTCTCCAGCCCCCAGTTCAGGAGCTTTTCCAAGGAACTTTGGGAGGTCTTTATACCAGTTCTGCCCAGCCCGTCCTGCCCTCCATGGATGATTTGGGGGTGGGAATTGAGCCAGCTCGCTGTGTCCTGGAATCTCTCAGGTCCCATCAGGAGCCCGGGGGGGGGGGGTCCTCAGCATCTGTTAGGTAGTGGCTAACCCAGAACGAGCACAGCCCCTCCCTGTAGCCCACTCTCAGCCGCCCCTCAGTCCCTGCTACCATGGTGGGGTCTGGCAGAGGGGGTGCCACTAAGGCCTTTGGCCTTTGCTGTTGCTCCAGTGGTGGAAGCGGAGTGTGAGAAGAGCTCAGCCACTACCTACTTCTGGTACCGAGAGGCCTTGGACATCTCCAACTCCATCTCAGAGAGTGGGGGCCTCAACTGGAAGATGACCCTGTGCCTCCTTGTGGCCTGGAGCATTGTGGGCATGGCCGTCGTCAAAGGCATCCAGTCTTCGGGGAAGGTGAGTTGGGGTGCACCAGACTCACAGGGGTCAGCAGAAAAGCTTAGAGGGCAGGGGGCTAAGAACTCTGGGTCACCCATGTGGGCTGCTTTGGGTCTTGCTGCAGTTTTCGTCCCTGTGCACCAGGGGTGAAATAGGAGCGGGTTTGTGGGAAGCCCAGCTGTAACCCCCAGCTGGCTCCATGCTGGGATAACTCGGGCCTGCTGTGCACACTTTGAGAGAAGGAAATCTAGATCCTCTGGTTCCAAGCAAAATCCCCAGAACAGCCTGCTCTGAGCAATTTTTGGTGAAAACCAGCAGCTTATTCTGTCTACAACTACAAGGCTTGGTGCCCCACTCTGTTACAGGTGGATGCTGTGAGTGAGGGGACCTCAGAGACCGAGGGGCTCTGTACCTACCTCTGAGGGTGCAGAGCAGCCAAACCCCCACACGTTTACTTAGCAGTTCAGATTCTCTTCAAATAGAGCCCTTTCTCTGTCACGTATCAGTGTTGGTGGCCTGCCGGTGCTGGAAGGGACACCAGAGATCCTGTAACCAAATCTACCTGTCTTGCAGCCAGTGAGGGCAAGGTACCTCACCTGAGATCACACGGCCAGTCAGTCCCAGTGTTACAAGGCAGGGAGAGAGGCACCCCAGACTCCCCAAACCTGTCTGCTCTAAATAGGTTCTGCCATCCACCGCATCAACACAAAACAAATGAGACTTTAATGGGAAGGATCTTTAACACAATTAGGAAACAATACAGGAAAGGCAAAGAATATAGTTTCTAAATCAAGCACCCAAAGTGACCCGTCCCCTCGTGGGTAAAAGTCCACCCAAGTGGGATTGGCCCAGAGCAAGGCCCCAAAGCCTGCCACAAGTCTAAAGCATCTTCCAGTGGGGACCCACAGAAAAGGATCAGAAACAACCAGACAAGCCCGGAAGGAAAAGAGCAAAATCAACATCAAGATAAAAGCTGCCATTGTCACCTCCCCACGGGTCTCACCCACATCTGTGTCACCCAGTCCACGACCAAAAGACAAGAGTAGTTTCTTCACGTGTCTCTAGGCTCCATGTGCCTCCTCCAAGTCTCCTCCTGGCTCTCCATCCTGCTTCCTTCTTTCCTCAGTCTCCTCTGTAGCTTCTTCTCTCCCTGCTCAGCTCCACCCTCCCTTGGGTGGGGCAGGGAACCTGGAACCTCCCCCTTTCCTGGGGACCACCCTGTTACACCAGAACTGGAGCTAGAATCCTGGCTGTCTGGCTGAGGCTTGCATTCTTGACCAGATGCGCAGAGCCAGGAAGCTAAGCCCTGGACAGGTAGCCTGGTCTCAGGCAATGCCTCTTCCTTCTCCAGGGGCTAAAATAGCAGCTGACACTTAGTGGTACTTATTAGGCACGGCCATGTGGATGAACACATTTGGTCCACAGCAAACTCATGAGTTGAGAAATACTATACCCAGTTTGTGGATGAGGGAATGAAGCATATTGCAGTCAGGTAAATAGCCCAAGGTCACAGGCTGGTGTCAGGAGAGCCAGGATCAGCTGGTCTAGGTCTGAACACGCAGGCTCTTAACCTCTGCACCATCCTGTTCAAATACCCTTTTTGTTCCAGTGCCACGAACATTTTGTGAACATCTTTGTGGGATGCTCTGTGCCAGGCACATGGGGCTAAGCAAAATATGCAAGAAACACATGCATGAGCAAACAGCACACGGTGTGTGAGCACAGAGGCAGGGCTTTCTTATGTTTTGCTTGGGAGTTGTTTCTAGAACCTTCCGATGCCTCTGTCAAAGGAGGTCTGAAGACGGGCAAGATGCCTGGGGGGTCCACTGGAGTCAGGACAGAAAAGCGGGCATGAAACATGAAAAATGAGGAGAGAGCCAAGGCTGCTCGCCCCCTTGGCGGCCCTTAAGGCTGGGGAGGCTGTGGGCCCAGCCGCACCGGCCCTTAAAAGGGGGAAGCGGCCTCAGGCTCAGCCATGCTGACTCCAGCTTGTCTGTGCTCCTGCTTCTGCCTTGGCTCGAGGCCAGGCATGCGGTGGGGTTGGCCCAGTGCCCAGCGGTTCCAGGGCTCTGCTCTCTGCTGCCATCAGAGGAGGCTTATGTGCCCCAGCTGTGAGCAGGGCGGGAGATGCCAGTTGCAGGAGGGGCCCTGCGTAACAGTGGGTCCCTGTCCTCTCTGCAGGTGATGTACTTCAGCTCTCTCTTCCCCTATGTGGTGCTGGCCTGCTTTCTGGTCCGGGGGCTGCTGCTGCGAGGGGCTGTCGATGGCATCCTGCACATGTTCACACCAAAGGTAAGGGTCCTGGCTCCTGCCGCTGGGGGCACCAACGCCCCACTGGGCAAGTCAGCTTCTTGCACACCTGCTATGTATCAGGCCTTGGAGGGATATGTGGGAGGCAGGGGTGGGTCCTGCCCTCAAGGTTCCCAGGAGAGGGACATCACCTCAATTTTAGTGAAATCAGAAGACATGTTAGGGAGGAGATGACAAGGGAGATTAACCTTAGGGAGCAGGTGGGAGTCAGGGAGCAGCAGTAGGACTTGGCAGCCAAAGGGAACTGAATGAGCACGACCAGAAAAGTGCAGGGCCTGCTCAAAACAATGGTGGGAAGTCAGGTTTGGCTGGTGGGGTAGGGGGCGGGGCAGGAGCAGGGGGTAGGGAGCCCTGGGGGATTTCATGGGTGTAGCTGTGAGAATAGGAGCCAGGAAAATGCCTGGTACCCAAATGAAGGGAACAAGGTCACTATTTTATTAAAGACAGTAGATCACCTGGAGGGTGATTTCACCCTTACCAAATCCAGCTCTGCCTTCTCTTCATCCCTCTGAGGAGGATGGGCAGGACCACCTGGCACATCCCACAGGGCAGCAGCAGAGGCACAGGCTTCCTAAAGATAACCTGTTTCCAAACGGTGGTCTCTGCTCACCATGTGGCCTGCTGCTCTCGTCCCCTTCAGACCACTGGGCACAGCTGGCCTGAGCCAGCTGTGGAATAAGAATTTCCAGTGGAATAAGAATTTCCAGCTTGCATGCCCTGCGAGCTGCTTCCAGTGATGCACACTAACAACTCTGGCTGGGCAGGCTGGGGTCCACCATCAATGCCTGCTGATCAGTGATCAACCAGTAGGGGCCTGATGAGACACCAGTCCATGGCATGCATAAGATCCCTGCCAGACCAGGCTGAGGCCCTCCACCCTGCTGCTCAGTAGCGCCATCCAGCATGTGCTCACATGTACACACAAGGGCCCGCACATATGAGTGTTTATCAGGAAGTTGAAACACAGGAAGAACAATGCAGATCTAGAGGGTGTTGAAGTCCCCACTCCCTCCTGCCTCCCCTGCCCTGCAGCTGTGACCCACTCCTGATATTTGGGGGCAGGAGACACATGACTCCATAGTCACCTGTTGGAGCATAAATTAGCCCGTGATGTTCTTGGAAATGACATCTGAGGTTTCTAGAGAGCAGCCATGAAGGTCCACTTTTAGGAAGCACTTGTGAGTCTCCCGAGCCATGAGTGTGACGCTGAGCCTCGGGCGGTGAACTTGTGATATCAGACAAGGAAGGAAAAAACTGCAAGTGGCTTTCTTTGGGGGCAAATGACCACAAGCAGCCAACTGTCTTGATGAATGACTTTAATTGTACTTCTAGAATCATGATGAGTCTGACGTGCTCACTTGAGTATCCCAGTCATGCTTTACTGAACTCTGTGAGGAAGTTGTTTATGCTGGAGATGTTCATAAGTGTGCAGAGTCACACAGGTGTCTGGGTGGCCAGGGAGCAGGAACAGTGGCATCTGTATGTTAGATGTCTGCCTGCCTGCGCCAGCACGCACTGCTGCCTACTTGATTCAGACATTCTTTAAAACATCGTTTTTAATGATGAATTTCCTTAGGCATATAAACACACATAGAATAACATAATAAACATTTTAATAAATAAAATATTATAGAGGCCATAAAAGTATCTTATGGCTTGACCTGATCCCATGCCCTTCCCTTCCCAAAGATAACCAGTATTCTGAACAATATTTATCCTGCTAGTAATACATTCAAAAAATTTATAATACATGTTGTATCCACAAACAATATGTAGCATGTTTGTGTACTTTTAAACTTTACATAAATGGCATTATATTATATACAGCCCTTTGCAACTTGCCTTTATTTTTGCTCATTGCTGTTTTTGAGATTTATTGATACCGACAGATATAGCTCTAGTGCATACATTTTTCACTGCTGTGTAGTATTCCCTTACAGGACTAAACTAAAATTTATTTTCTAGTTGTTGATCAATGAAGTTGTTTTTAGTTTTCATCACTGCTAATAAAGCTATGATAGACATTATTACACAGGGCTTTACATTTCTGTAGGGTGTATATGTTTAGGAGTGGAATTGCATATCTTCAGCTTCACAAGATGAGGCTTTGCCTGCTGGGCAATTCTGTGGGGGGTTGCTCCTGCTCTTGACCCTGGAGGGATGTGTTGAGTAGGCCAGAGAGGTCAAACTCCTCTACCAGGGATCCCCATTCACAGCCTGTGCCACTGTTTGTTTGAGGCAGGTGAAGTGACTGGTGATGGCTTGGGTAAGGCTCATATTTACAAACCCCTTCAAGTCATCTGTGAAGAGGAAGGACCCACTCTCAATAACCTGACAGTTCATACAGAGCAGACTATTGTTGCAGAGCTATGACCTTTTCCGCTCCAGATTGGGGAGGAAACCTGGAATCACTTTAAGTTCCTAGAAATGGTGCCATCAAAGTGCCAGGATCACTGTGCACAGTTGCCCAGGTTGTGCACTGCTCCATTCATCTTGAGCACAGTGTGAATGACCTCCCCAGGGGTCATACCATTTGGCAGCCATGACAGGGCTCAAGAAGAGCTGACCAGTGGTCAGACTGAGCACTTATTAAAAAACAGTGTCACTGGGATTTGCTATTGAATTGGATGTGAGGTGTGGGGAAAGAGAGGGGTGGAGGGTGACGCTAAGGTCTTTGCCCACCGGAAGGATGGCGCTGACATGGAGATAGAGAAAGATGGAGGGAAGAACAGGTTTGGCGAGGACTTTCAGGAGTGCTGGTTTAGACCTGGCAGGTTTAAAATGTCTGCTAGATATCTGAGTGGAGATGCTGAGGGTGGCTGGATAGAGGAGTCTGGAGGTGAGTGGAGGTGTACATTTGGGGGATCTTGGAGAGTTTAAAGCTGTGGACCTGGTGATGGTCACCTGGAGCGTGAAGATGGACATGGGAGAGGACTCAGCATTGGGGTCTGGGTTTAGAGGTTGGGGAGGGGTAGTCAACGAGGAAGGAAAAGGTAGGAGGGAGGGAGAAGGAGATGAGGGGAGAGAAAGAGGGGGAACAAAATGGAGAAAATGATTTCAGAAGGAGGAAGGGGCAGCCATGTCCATATTGCTGAGAGGTTAGATAGATGTGAGGGCTGAGAAATGACCAGTGCTCTTGGCAATGGTGGGGTCATTAGTGACCTGGACAGGGGCTGTTTTGGGAGTCTGGTGACACAGTCTAATAGTAATGGGTTCAAAGACAGATGGAAAGTCAGGGACTGGAGACAAATAACAGAGACCATTTATTTCCAGGAGTTTGGCTATCAAGGGAAGCACTGAAATGAGAAATGGAGTGGGCTCTGTCGCGGGCCTTGGAAGAAAGGTCATTATTTCAGAATATAGATGATGATAAAAATAACCCTTCGTACACTGCTGGTGGGAATGTAAAATGTTGCAGCGCATTTGGAGAACAGTCTGGCAGTTCCTCCAAAGGTTAGCCAGAGATAGCATATGAGCCAGCAGTTCCACTTCTAGGCACATGTCCAAGAGAACTGAAAAGATATGTCCACACAAAAACTTGCACACGAGTGTTCCTGCATACCTCATCAGTGGTCAAAAAATAGAAACAACGCCAATGGCCATTAGCAGATGAATAGAAAAATAAAGGGTAGTGGGTTCTTACACTAGACTATTGATTGGCCACAAAAAGGCATCCTGAGAGAGGAGGCAGTCCCAGAAGACCCATGTTGCATGATTCCATTTACTCAGAATGTCCAGAATAGGTGGATCTGTAGAGACAGAAAGAGATTCGTGGTTGCTGAAGGCTGCGCTTGTGGGGAGATCGGTGGAGAAGTGGGGGATGATTGTCCAGGGGTAAAGGCTTTCTTTTCTGGGTGATGAAGATGTTTGAAAATCAGTTGTGCTAAAGGCTGCACGCTTTTGTAGCTAAAGGCTACAAACTACTGACTTATATATTTTAAAAAATCCAGTAAAGAGAAGGAAATCAATGTTGTTGAGGGGTGGGCAGGTGGCAAAGTCCTTGAATAATCAGGAGAGATAGAAACAGTCCCCCAAATGGAGTCGGTCTCAGCTTGGGGCAGACAGCATCCCCACAAGGACAGAGATGGGCGCAAGTGTTGGCACCTGAGAAGCTCGTGAGGAGCCTCTCATTTGGGGGTTCCCTTCTGGTGGTGTCACTGTGCTCTGTGAAGTAGGAAGCGAGGCCATCAGCTGAGAATAAGGAGGCTGGAGGAGGGGGGATCCAGTGGGGACCCCTGGAGGAGTGGACACGAAGCAGTTGTGCAAGAGATAGGGATCCATGCTGGGAGCAGCAGAGGGGCTCCTGGGAGGGTGGGGTCGGGAGTGCGAGCTGACCACAGAGGGCAGCTCCCAGCACCCCGGTGGGCAGCTCTTCATGTATTTTTTTTTTTTTTTGTGGGACCCTCGCCGGCGGCCGGGGAACGAACCAGCGCTGCAGAGGCTGTGGACAGCCTCGCAGTCCAGCACTCAACCGCTGCACCACCAGGGGAGACCCTTCATGTAGTTTTTTAAAAAAAATTTTTATTTTATTTTTTAAAGATTTATTTTTTATTTTTTATTTAGACAAGAGCTGGGGTACAGGCCAGAGGCACGGGAGGGTGAGAGGATTCACCAGAGACAGAGTGGGAGCAGAACAGGCAGCCTGACTGAAACACACTGCTGAGGGGAGCAGCGGGGAGACAGGAGAGGTCTGCTGCGCCATGTGAGAATCTCCCTGTCCGGCCGGGAATCGGACTTGCGCTGCAGAGGCTGTGGGCAGCTTCACAGCGAGGTGCTCAACCTGCTGTGCCACCGAGGAGGCCCTGCTCTTCATGAATTAACACCTGTGAGAACAGGCTGTTTCCCACAACCAGTGAGGTCCTTAAAACAAACTCGTGTTTTGCAGTGGACGGTGCTGCTGGAGAGCCAGGCATGGACACGCCTTGTGTCTACTGACTCAATGAAACTGTGCCCTGGGCGTGATCCCAAGGGCCCTTTCACAT